CAGACACTGGGGCGGGAATAACCTAGGGTAAATTTGCACTCATTTTCAACGAACCCTGACAAGGAACACAGGGACGGGTCATGTAGTTAGAGATGAGATAGTTCAGAAAGCTGTACGAAAGGCAAAAATTCCCATCGGCAACGGGGATCAGCATACAGCGGATCATTTGAGGCTATCAACCGATTGGGTACGGTGGTAGGAGTTAATGGGGCACCGGTCTGACGCACCAACGGATGTGGTTTCACTTCGTGACGGTTGCCTTAGCTAACAGAAACGCGGCTACTTTGCGCCATGTTCGTGATTTGCTTACGCAACAGGTTCCGTCAATACCGCGTAATCGGTGGACACATCTGCCGATTTGTACCGCTGGGTGAAAATAAACTTGCAGAAATTACCGCCCCTGACATTGGAGCACTAAAAAGTCGGCAATGTCCGGTAGTGGATGTATACAGACGACGGACAGCGCATTTCAGTATCGCCAGGAATCGCAGGCTCGCATTTTGGCGGAAGCGAAAAACGACGAGCAGATCTTTTAATGTTCAACCCTGAGACATATGGGCGCGCCGCGACAAGCATTCCTGAGCAAACGACAACCGCTTGCACTAGCATCCAACTACAACTAAGCTCATGTAAGGTATAAACGACTCAAGGCAACTGTGACGCCGAAATTCCTGTGGTGAGCCTAAAGGAGTAGTTGTTCAAAGGTAGTCTGACAGAATGTCATCCCATTACTTTAACTATATTAGGCTAGATGTGGAACCTATTCAAATTCCACCAGAAAGATGCCCTTGTTGTTGTGTTGAAGGGGCTTGAAACCAAGCACAAAGAAGGTAGAACACGAAAGCACCCTTCTTGCCGTTGCAGTAGAGCCAGGTTAAGGGATTTGTCTTCTGCCAGAGTCGTACCCACCGGGCTGGGCCGGCCAAGATGAATGTGATAGGCCAGTTGAAGGCATTTGATGCCCAGTTCGGAAGGTATTGAAGGGCTCCAGAAACGAGCTTGAATGCTGCTACCGACTGACGGTCCGGAGGTCTTGGGCTTTTTCTTTCCAGTAACCGGCACCCAGGATGAGGAGAATTGCTGTTGTGGAGGCCTGTTTGGTGCTTCAGTGGTTAGGCAGAGCGCCGGCATTGTGTGAGTCCAGACACGAGGCATCCAGGCAGTTGTCTTTACAATGGTCCAGCGCTGTTTCCAGTTGTTGACGTCATTTATCCATCCACAGGTGTCCGCGTTGTCGAAGCGACACACGGCCAGGGGAGCCGGACCAGTGACTGTAGGAGGGGTCAAAGAAGTTGACGATGAAACATGCCAGGCACGTGCGTGCGAGGAGGTCGAGCAGGTCCATTTCATAGAGACACAGAGAGGCAGATAGAACAAATAAGCAGGGGGCG